AACAAATGTTAAAAACAATGCCAAAATGTAAAATATTGTTTTAAATGTTATGAAACGAATCAACACACTGTGCGTGGTATTAAAAGTAGGAAATGTCAAATAGTACCACATTTAGACGAAAGTGCCAACTTCGGCAGCCCTGGGAGGGACGTTTTGTAAAGTACCTGTTATTTGACGCAGTTACGAGGTGTGCATGTAAGCGCTGTAATCGCCACTTTCACTTTGGATTACAAAGGAAAATTCATTATTTTAATATTTATTATATTTTACTATTTATTTTTACTGTTTACTTTTTATTACAAATAAAATGCCCGGTGTACGTCTCACGGAGCACATAAGGTTTGTTAACAGTATTACTACAAGAAACACAACACTTGCTACATGCTCACGCCACTTATGCAGCAAATGTAACATGTGCGACCTGTCAGTTATTTATAGTCTGACGCCAGCTGCGCACGCATACTATAAACAGCGAACAGACAAGAATGAACATATCATATGATACTCTCTCCTGTGTAATCCTTGTCTAAACCACTTACACATGCGATACCTTAAATGTGATCATTTTTTCATAGTAAACTGTAAATGAAAATAAAACACACATTTCTCCTGCAGGCTGCCGTGGTGGTTTATACACGTGTTATGGACCTTCCTTGCCATCTACAACGTGTTCCTCGCCTACTACATCATGCTGTATGGCTTAAGCCTGGGCTATGAGAAGAGTGTTGATTGGATTCTGGCCTTCTTCACAGGATATTTTACCAACGTGCTGCTTATCGAGCCTGTAAAAGTGGTCTTTATGGTGCTTATATTAGTGCTCCTTTTCAAACAAGGACACACGCTCAGAGACCATGCCCCAGTGGCCAAGCTGAGTGAGTATACCTGAATACTTATCACTGAAGCACCTTGTGCCTACCTGCAACCGTCGGCAAACCAAGGATGTATCGCATACACACCACTGGGGTGTCTCTGGTGCAACCCAGAATGACCCGCATAGCCGCGTTATGAATGCGCTCTAGTTTGTCCATCTGACTCTTTGAGACGGTAAACAATCCCAGGCCATAATCTACCACTGACAGGATCAGGTGCTGATATAGTGTGAAAAGCACTCTCTGCTCTATGTCAATTGCAGCCATAGTCTTAAGTGCACTAAGTCCTTTTTGGCATCTCGTCACAACACTCTCCACATGGTCCTTAAATGACAGGCTCCTGTCAAATGTAATTCCTAGATACTTCAGTTTGCTCTCTCAGTTGACGTCTCTACCATCTATCGTGAGTCTTGTGACATTAGTTTTAACGATTCTGTGGTCCAGAGAACACCACAAAGCAGACGCCTTTTCCGGGTGAACGACCCCTCATTTCTGTACACCACTCAGTCACTTTGTCTACTGTCGCTTGTAGCTCCCGAGCTGTTTGTTCCCTCTCTTCCCCCTGCCTATATGCAAGTATATCATCCTCAAAAGTCAGTATCCTTCCAACTCCTGGTGCTTCTAGGCTTGCAATATTGCTCATATACACGTTGAAGAGCACAGGCGAGATGGCAGATCCCTGTGGCAGTCCTGGGGCCAAAGTGCATGGTTCAGAGGTCCATGAGCCCAGTCGGAGAGCAACCCGCCATGAATACAGGACAGCTGCAACCCAATTCACCAGCCATGGATTGACCTCCTTCTCACTCAGTGCAGTCAATAAGATGTCGTATCTCACTCTGTTATAAGCATCCTCGAGATCCAGTCCTACCGCTATAGTTTCCTGTCTGTTCTGGAACCCTTCATAGACGTCAAAAGCAAAAGTGGCCGCATTTGCCCAAGTGTCCGTTCCTGGATGTAACTTCCCAGACCTCTTGGGAGAAGCTTCCACCTTTCCAAAAAATTCTTGTAACTTTACAGCAACTATCTTCTCCAAGACCTTTCCAAATGTGTTTTGTAAGGTGATGATTCTAAAGCCACTAAGCTTTGAATGATCTTTAAAAGGTTTTGGTAGTGGGATTAGATAGCTGTGCACCCAGTCTTGCGGTACTGATGCTGTCTTAATACTCTGGTTAAAACAGTCGGCCATCTCTGCCAGGTCTACATCGCTCGAAGCCTTCATGTGACCATACCTGACACCATCAGGCCCCGGTGCAGTGTCTTTTGCTTTTTTCGAAATTTGTTTGATATCTTCCACGTGTATCATGTCTTCATAATGCATATTCTTCAAGGTGCCAGCTAACTCCTGTCTAACTGCATCCCTGATGTCTACATCATTATGATCTGTCTGAGCTATAAACCTATGGACAAAAGCCTCCCCTATCTCCTTTTCTGTTGTCACACGCACACCATCGTCTCTACAAATTGTTCCGACTGTCATAGGCCGATCTTTTCTTTGCATCTGTCTTTGCAGTTTCCAGAATTTCCCTAATGTTTTATCGCCTTCCATATCATTCACAAGAGTTTCCCACTTTGCTCTTTTGGCCTCTGCAGCACAACGCTTGAAAACCTCTACCTTATCTTTTTCACATTCTCCGCCATCTCCATTTCCTCTCGTGAGCTTGAGGGTGTCTGTCGTACTTTCTTTAGCTGCTTCACTGAGGCTATCTTTGCCTTCCATGCCTGTTCTACTTCCGAAGTCCACCATGGGGGCTGTAGAAAATTAGTTTTGGCAGTTCTTTTGCATGCTCTCCGTCTGAGACGTCCAAGTAGGTTGTTGGTCCACTTATACTGGAAGGTCTTGCGTACTCTCCCAACCTTAACCCTGCTAAGTTTAGAAATCAAATATACTCTCATTCTTGGTATTCATATGACTTATTTTTCCACTAGCATTATGCCTAATGATCGGTGAATTTACCACAGGTTATCCCATTTCCCTCTTTACGGTACCCGAGACACAAAAGGAAACATGAATGAAAATTATGCATTCTTCTATGCATGTCGTAAGATGCGTGTGAGTGTAATGTGGGGCTTGAGTTTGGCTCCATAATCCCATTAAACATGCATATAAATTATCCATACTACATTTATCATTAGAACAAAATTGTATTGGCATCTACAAATTAATTTATCGACAGCTTATCGGGAAATAGTGTACAAATCGATTTCAGTATGTATATCAGAAACATATACAATCAAGCACTCTCTGGAGAAAAGCAAACATAGTGAAAGCTGATGATTACAAATAATCTAACAAGGAAACCATGAGACTGATAAGGGCGGACATTTCACAAGTATTTGACAGAATGTATGGACATTTAAAATTGTGGAAATATAAATACGTTGGAATTAAAAGTTGTAGGAATATAAACGCAGTTGTTTTAAGAATGTGTGCGAATGACACGGGGCTTCGCCTTTGTGCATGCCGTAATGATCACATGACCATTACATTCTATAAAGACTGCAGGTTTGCGGGTAAACCAGTTAATCATTAAATTTGCCCATTTTGCATACTACGATTTCATTCCAATGTTTACACTAGTAAGCTTTATTTCTGTCTCTTAAAAAAAATGCAAACAAGTTTAGCATGTGATATCCAAATAGCAATGAGTGACTTTCTACCCCACTAGGACATCACACAAGCGATAAACACCCGATGACACAACGTGCCACCATGTGGATGAGGATCACCGTGGAGAGGTCCCAGAAACCGCGTTCAGACATTTGGCCATTTATATGGCCTGCCTATATTGCGGCCCCTGGCAAAAGCCAGAGTGGGGCTTCAAAAAAAAAATCCATCCAAATAGCAATGTTGTTGAAGTCCTAAAAACACCATTTAAAAGACCACTAATATAGAGACACAACGATGTGTTGCGTGTTCTAATGTCGGCAAACCAGACTATCTCTATATCTGCGCAAACAATGAATGCGACATTAACCATAATAGACACTAGTTTGGTTCTTTTCCAATTAGCCAAACAATGCCACAGCAATACGTGACTGGGTACAGGTATTATTTTTTTTTATGTCAAAAAAGGCGTTGACTTCCCTTGACATTTCCTGGTACTTATTTTAAGCTGGGTCGACCTGGAAGTTTCTGGAAAAACTATCCGACATGATGGGACAGGCAGTCGAACGTCTAACCAATAAACCAGGGATATTTAACTGGCGGCCGGCGCGTCAAATCTTGTCCTCAGAGGCGCAGCTCGTAGCACCCATTATGCTAATTGTACTGTATTTTACGTTCTTTCTACACTGGGGCTTGGGCCCGTGACGATCCTTATCTTAACATTTTGATCCCTGGGTGACCTGACCTAAAAAGCCCTGCACTGGACTAACACGGCTCTCGTTACATATAACATTTTAAAATAGGTTTGTTTGTTTGTTCAACGAATAAAAATCATAAAACAACGGCAATACCTAAGTTCTCTGTTCAGCTTCTAACTCAAGCCCGAGTCCGAAGAATCCGAGCGTTGAATTCTAAGATACTTGGGTAGATCTTTCACTCCATCGTTTGCCCGGGGAGCGCCGTTAGGCTACACTTTTCGATTTCCAACTGATAAGGATTTTTTACGCTTGTATTAATACACATTGGCGTTAGATCTTACAACCCAGAGACCAGTTGAAATTACTAGTCCCCTTGAAAAACTCCTAGCCTTCACCGGGACTTTTACACTGACCTCCAGCACTCGGGGCGGACGCCATGCCTCGAGACCACTCCCACCCCCACCCCACTGTAGGACTGTGTGCTATATGGCTATACGGTTGAACGGGTTTCTGGGATTGTACCCATCTGATTCTTATCCTTAAGATGTAAATCATACAGACTGACAATTTGGAGGGGTTAAACAATTAATTAAATAGTTGTTTGTGGCCAAGTACCAAGATAAAATGGCAAGAAGCCTCTCATTGCTTCCAGAGCTTCAAATACAATTTGTGTGTCTAAACATAGCTTTTAAAGATTGCTTGGAGCTCGTCGCGGTTCCAGTTCAAAAGCATAATTTATGTCAGTATTAAGACGCATTTGTTGACTTTTTTGTTGCACCGAAGCACATTTTTCCATATTTGCACATTTTTAAATGCACGTTTAAATGCATGTTTCCTTTAGATGAAGGGATCAAGCTGGTGCAAGAACAAAATAGATACAAGCAGAAGTACAGCAGCCTGTTACCTAGTGCTCGTTGTCGGCCTCCACTCCGCACATCAGAGGCTGCACTTGTCATTGAAAGACATGCCATTGAGCGTACGGCCAGAGAGGTTAGCAACATGAAGTGCTACACATGTGGAGCATGTTTGATCATTAGAGGGATTATTTTGTGTTTGTATGTGTATGTTGTGTGTTTGTGGTGCCCATAATGTATCATCTGACACAGAACAAACGGTCTGACCGAAGGCAGTGGTGGTACTACAATGGCTGGCACGTTTGCCTGCTGGCTCATTAGCCATGTGTTCGAAACTCACTGGATATGTGAAATGTTTGTGACATTAGCTTCAGAAGGACGAAGCTTGATACACATACCAATTAATTTTTTTTCCAAATAGTAAAACCCAGTAATCAGTTCCAAGAGGCGAACCAAGAAGACCGCGGAGAACAGAGCTACAAACACTTGGTGTGACCAACCAGAAAGAGAAGGTCAGTCACAGAGATGAGTGATGGAGGATGGTATCTGCAGCAATGAACCTCAGGGGCTCAGAATGCTGAAGAAGAGGATGAAGAAGAAGACTCATATGCACACATTTGAGTGATCCTGTTTGAAATCAATCATAGTAGTCAAAGTATTCTCAATCACCCTACACCATCGGTTTTTCCATACCAAAGCACATGTTATTGTAAGAATTTGACTACATTTAAAAATCTTTCCCGACTTCACTAAATCAAATCATTTGCATTACAACATATGTAAGATTATTCCGCGAGAGCAATAATAGGTTCCGTGAAATAACGAATAATTATTTGATTAGACCCCTGCGTTGACAATTGTGTGTGTGCGCGCGCGCCCGCGCTCTCCAGCGCGCGCTGTTTTTTCTTCAGGCTATGTAGATGATGTGCGCGATTGTCTAGCTCTGCATGTAGGAAGATGCTGTATTCTGTCTAGTAACTGTAAGCTCAATGAATTCCCTCTTCCCGAAAAAAAGCTTATAGTTGTGAAAGACAGCAGTGTAAATGTTTCTCTCCTAGACAGTATTTTGAATTTGTCTTCTCAATATATCCAAAACTTCGGTACACGTTAAACTCGAATCTTTGTGCACTGTGAGATCTCAAATCTACGACGACGGCGTATTCAACTAAGTTTAAGCTGTCATTTTTTGTTTTGTTTACGCAGCAAACATGAAGTATCCATTCATACTCAGCAAGCAACTTTTCTTGATCTATTGCAAAATAAAAATTTCCGTCGAAATGAAATTTATACTTTTTAAATATTTATTCTACAGTTGGTTTCTTAATCATTTAATTCAGTATGAATATAATTTCGTTGAGCGGCCACAGAGCCCGCAGAAGTCGAAGTGACATTATCATCATCATTTACCCTGCCAACTGGGGTAGGCGCTCATGCGTCTACACAGATCACGATCCCTGGTTGGCTGGAACATCCCTCTTGATGATATGCCTCCATGCCATCGTTCTAGTCCATCCAGTATCCTCTCTCTTCGTCTGCCTCTACCCCCTTTTCTACTGATCATTCCAGTCTCATGAGTCCAAGTGTAGATTGTAGATATTCACAGAGCATCAGTTGATAAATGCTGATCTATCTATACAAATCACATGCCCAATAGCATGAAACGTGTCTTTTACTCTGTTTTTGCTTTTCCCGAATATCTTGATGCGTATACATTTTCTAGTTAATTAGGTGACTTTATGTTTCAGATGCTCAGAGACATGTTTATCTACACGATTTTCATGGTGTCTGTAATTTTGGTAACGTATGGGCACATGGATATCCGCACCCAGTTTCTACAAAGCCAGTATGTGAAGAACAAGTTTCTCAAAACTCCTGTGCTAAATGACGACGAGATTGAGGTGCACATGTGTTTCAGTATGTAATGTGTCTAGAATAGTTTAAAATTAAACAGCTCATTGACTCCTAATGCATTTTATGCTTGCCCATGACACTCAAAATAAGTGCAATGACGTGGGTTTTGTTAGTTATATCTTATCATCCTCTTCGTCTTCATCATCATCATCATCATTTTCTTAATTATCAAGGTCATTATCATTATGCTCCATGTCGACAAGTATGGCATGTTTAGGTTCATCATCTCATGCTAGAGCCATTTGTTCAGAATACAGCAGGCTGCAAAAGCTGCCAGAAGAGCAGTTCTATTCGTCCGCCTGTAGGAGCTTTCTTCCTAGACATGCTGCCAGCCAATGCTAAGAAGCTGGTCCGCCCTACCCTAACATACAGTTGTCATGCTGCATTTCCTCTTTCTAGGGTAAGGCTAATTTCCCCCCCCCCCCTTCTTCCCCCGTTTCTCCCGCTCTCCCTGAAGCTGTTTTCACAACGAAGGAAATACTAAATTCGGACACAGAAGACAGTCAATACTGGTTACTGTTAAATGTAGCTCAGTCTTCTCCAACCAAAAACCTGACATTGCTAGTATACCATGAAGTATTGCTAATCTAGCACAACAGTGATTGTCCCTTACCTTCCTCCCGTTTATCTATAGTTTGTTAACGCAAATTTTTTGAGTGATCTGAAGGCAGCTGTGGGGCGGAACTGTGTTCAGGAACCATGAGGCTATATATATGTAAATAAAGTAGAGGACCTTATTCCACGTCTTCAGATGTATTGGGCATTTACGCCTGGACCTATAATTTATAGACATCGGCACTTAGTGGGTGATGTGGTCAACCCGACCTCGGCCTTTCATTCCAGCCGCTACATCACGACGGCTCCCTTTATTTGTATATTCAATTAAAATGTAACGTTTTAGAACCCAGTCTGTGTTCCTCGTCATATTTTTGGGCTGACCTCAACATGGTGGGTTGTCCAACATCTGTCATCCAGTGGAGAAACATAGAAGTAGGACATATTCATTCTGAACCAGGTACGTAGTCTGCATCTGTGGCTTAGGCGTTGCAAACGCGCTTGGTAATGCCAGGCTGCCGGGTACGATCTCTGCAGCGGGTGGTTTGTACTGCGTTAGTGTCGACTGTGGTACCGAGAGCTGACTTTCAGAAGCAATGGCAAACTACTTTACGTAAAATGTGGCTAGAAAAACCTTAACAGCCAAACATGCTGGGGTTGGCTCTGCAACGTCATGTACGCAACTAACTTAAACAGGGACATGTGTGTGTGAAGCTTAGGCTTTGCGAACGCGAAAGTGGCTCCACGAGCATGCTCAGGAAGATAGTGACGGGGCTGGGTCCGAAGACAGTGGTTGGAGTCTCTAAAGCGGTCGGGGTTGACACATAGCAGTTTCATACTTTTGACAGAGCAAGCAGGCGTGCACGGCCTCGAGCACGCTGATCGGCTGGCGAATAAATCCACTGTAGAGATTATAGACAAGCCTAGTACTATCATCAGGAAAGGCTCACTCATGGGCCACTCAAACATCCAAGACCTACAACAGATTGCAACGAACCGCCATGCATGGAGAGTCATGACCTCTGCCCTATGTGCCGCACTCGACACAAGAGGAAAGACTAACTAACTAATTAGACCATGCTGATATTCCTAATGTTGTACGAGAAGTAAGACGTTTGCGAGGACCAGTTGATGATTGTGAATCTGCAACCATGACCCGACTGCAAGAGCAACATGTTGAAAGTGGTGTGGCCAGACACCAGCATTATGCAGGAAGCCAGAGAAGAATAAGAAACCAACACAGACCTGGTACCGTGAGCCGCTACACCCTGTGGGATTTCCTAAAGAGCTAACCCGAGCATTTATGAACTGAAATGTTCGATGTGCAATGAAGATAATCTGTCGACTAACTAACTAAATAACTAGCATCATCTGAGCTGGAGGCAAACTTTTAATCAGGTTTCAAATGGTAATGTTAGCATCTCAGCTCTTGGTTAGTGAAGAAGGGGACGGAGCACGTTTATGAATGTCCCGAGTGCAGTAATGTCGCTTCTTGATTTATTGATTCATTCATTTACTATCTGAACGAACTATTTTGAACATTTGAGGCCCGCCCTATGAGTTACTTAAGATGTCTGTTATATGTTTAACCACTAATGTGTTTCAGTGCGTGTCCATGTACATTGCTGTCAATACTTTTTATTAACTATGATTATGGCCTGTTTTTTTTTTTTTTAGGGCCACCGGACATCTCCAGTACTGGATGAGGTAAGTAACAAATCACAAACAATTTTTTTTTTTAAATATCTCATGATATTACAATCCCAAGTGTAGATTCCTAGGCCTAATTTCTGAATACAAAAACAGTTCCATATCAAGCATGTCGGAAATGGTGACTAATTAGGGTTGTTTGTTTCAGTGTACAAGTGTGCTTGCTGGAGAACCAAGGAATCAACAATATCCCTGCAAATAGGTTCTGATCTGTAAATCGGATGAGCACGCAAAACTCAGGTTCCTGAAAAAGACCACAGCCCAGAAGGGGAACAACCAACTAGAACTTTCCGATGAAGGCTTCGAAAAAAAAAAAAAAAAAAAGAAGACGGTGTTGATACTGAAATGCTACCTTCTTCAAATCTTGTTAGATAATGTATCGATCATCCTCACCGCACATCAAACAAGTCCTACTGCGTTCTTCTTGTGTCTTCGTTAGGATGTGCTGTTTGGTAAAACCAGTTCTGTGTTGTTTTACTGTTTTACTGTTCTTCATTAGCTACCTATATACTGTTCATGTTTGGTAAAACATATTTTGAGATGAAGTTCTTGTAGTTTATTTTTTTTCAAAGTTGCTGATTTCTCCTTGTCTCTTGAGTCGCCCAGCCTCCCGGAGAGCATTAGGAACATCGGCCCGGTCTATTCCTTTTCCTGTGCCTAGCGTGGTTCTACCAGCAGTTCTCAACTCGTTCATTCCTTCACATCCCAGAATGTCATGGTAGCTATCAATTCATACCAAATCAGTTTGCCGCCGCAGCCGATTTTATGCTAACTCGAATCCATACAGCGAATATCAATTATCAAAGGAAAAAATCTACTATGAACAACCAAATTCTAACAGACGGTGCAGCAACTTTTTTGGACAATACTTTGCCATATATTTTGGATGCTCCAGTCTACAACATTGCCAAACAATTTTCAAGATAGCAAGAACAGAAAAAAAAAAAAAAAAAAAAATATCATGAAAAGAGGCAAGAAGAAGATAGCGGAATCCTGGAAACTTTACATTCGTTGAGAAATGTGAAATGCAAAATCAGATCAGAAGACTTAAGAAGGCACTGAAAGCAAGCAAGACAACTCAAGATAAAAGCAGGCACATTTCCAAAGAAGTCAATGGTGAATCAAGAAGTTCGAAAGAAAGTAGACAACGATATCAAGACATTCAAGGAAACAAGAGTAGAAACAATAGCACAGTTGAAAGACTTGCCAAAACAGCAAGATGAAAGAGATAGAGAAAGTACTGCCAATCAACCTCCAATAGCCAAGAACAACAATGGAAAAACAGGAGAAGACAAGCCCAAAGAAGTAATACTGAATGAGTCTGCTAGCAAGGCAGACAACAGCTTTGAAAACAGGTTCAAGGCAGCAACCGAGAAGCATTCCAATTGGAGAAGATCAAGGCGAATGAAGAACGACGAGCAAGAGTTAAATACGCAAGAGACTAAGAGAAGAGATGAGTAGGGAACTGAAAGGAAAATTATTACTGGAGACGGAAGAGCCAAGCAATCAAAAAGACACCAGACAGGGGGCAGATGACCGACAGAATGACAAAACTGCACAACAGTCCACGTTAGCACTAACAACTGAAAACAGCCATGTATCCAATTTGTCAACTAGTTTAAAAAAAAAAGATTAAGTATCAACTGGAACGACGAAATACCTGCCCAATGGCAACGGTCAGGTTGCAGCGGGCACTATTAGCATGACAGCTGCTCGCTGGCTGCTGAAGAAGGGGAACAGAGCACAAGTGGGAATGTCCCGAATGCAGCCATGTCAATTCGTGACATTAATTTACAGCCAAAAATTCCGCCCTCCTCATTATCATCTTTTTCTTCTCCCTCTCTCACCTCCCCGTGTCCCGGACTGTGAGTGTCTTTAATAGTAACTTGCTAATATTCAGACATGTCTTCATATAATGCCAGGTAGTTTCCGTGGACAAAATGTGGAATTACCTGAAGACCGTAGTTGCACCTGAGATTATCAGGAAAAAAGAAACAACGTCCACCGAATATGATATTCACGTGGTAGGCACAGCTCGTATAAGACAGGTTAGGTCGAAGGATGACACAAGTAAGTGCGTTAAGTTTTGTGGCTATGATTTACAATGCTATATGTGGCAAAAGCTGTGATCTTAAATGCTGAAAAGTAGCTGTGAGTGTCAATATTCGTGCCTTCGTGCTTTAACAAAAAAATATATCGAAAACGTATGCACGGGTCAAGACGAATTTTTGCTTGAAGCACATTTTCCCCATGTCCTTCAATTTTTTTTTCATTTGCAATTACACTGTTGTGTCATTTAAGGTTGTGTCATATTAGCTTGGATACTAATACGATATGAAAGAAAGAGCACACATAAACTGGTGTTACTGTGGATCAGCAGCTAGAGGCTCGCCTGGGGGTGAGAAGAGCGTGGGTTTGGGTCCTTACGGTGCCGGTATCATTTGAAAAAAAAAATTCCTTGGCTCCTAAGGCCGACCCAGCCTTGTATGGGTACCAGGTACATTTATGTGAAGTAAAGGCTGCCGGCGTAATGTTGACCACATCACCCACCTAGTTTGCAGATTGGTTTATAGAATATAGATCTAGTCCTATATGCCAAATACACCTGGAGGCGTGGAAAATGTTCCTTTACGCATATAACTGGACTTTGGACCTGAATTAATATTTATATACATAAAAGGTTGTTGCGTATCCTCTAGAGGACGTTGCAGAACCAACCCTAACAGCCCCTGGCTGTTGTGTGGTTTCTCTAGGCAAATTTACGTCCAGTAGTTTGCCATTGCTTCTGGATGGTCGGCTTTCTTGATACCACTGTCGAAACCAACGCAAGGCGCATTGCCCGCAGCTGGGATCGAACCTGGCATCCCGGCATTACGAAGCGAAGTGTTCGCATCGACTTAGCCACAGAGCCGACTATATACATATATCAGCGAATTAATGCAACACAGATGTTGTCAGATGTTTTTGTTGTTGTTAGTATTTCCGGATATCAGAGTCACAGTTTGTGTTAGTTAGTTAGTCAATAGATTATACTCATTGCATATCGAACCATCCAGTCCATCAGAACTAAATCCCGCACCGTGTGGCGGCTAACGACACCAGCCCTGTGTTAGTTTTCCATTTTTTGGCTATCTGCATAGTTTTCTCTCTTGGTCACACTCGTTTAACATGTTCTTGCAGTTTCACAGTCATACATAGCATGAATCTCGCAAACGTCGACTTCTCGTAGCATATTAATAAAATCAGCATGATCCATGGCTCGTCTGCCAAGCACAGTAGCTGCGTACTAATTTCCCAACACATTTTGTGTTGTATTCACGCTGTGTTCATGGTAATCTCTGTCAGTGTTCAGCTGCGCCTTGTTTGTTTGTGTCAGTATAATGCTGTCATGTTAATCTGTATATAAGCTAGTATGTATCAATGTTAAACTGTGTTAATGTTAAACTGTGTAAACATTAAAGTTTGCCTCATTTGTCTCCGCCAGTATAAGACTATCGTGTTAGGTTTTAACTCTGTATCAGTGTCAGTAAGGATAGCTTTCAGATATCTAGAGAGTAGAGGTATATATATAATTACACGTTGTAATTGTAACGGACTCAAACATTATGCACTGAAAAGTAGAGACGGGTGTCCTGCCAGTAAAGTGTCTTGTGTCACATTATACATTATAAGGATGCACATACGTCAACCAAATTTGCAAATCAGCTAACATCAGCAATGGTGACAACATAGGTGAATTACTAATGAAGTGCTGTTCGCCGATGACCAGGCAATTATAACACAAACTGCAGCACAGCTACAAAAACATATCAATATACTCCACTCAAAACGCGACAACTACGACATAAAAATCAACGTAGACTAAACAGAAGTGATAACTTTCTATTAAAAGGAAGAACCACCAATATGAAAATGGGTGGACACCGATTAAATCAGGCGAAGGATTTTGCATGTCTGAGAAGCATTTTTTCCAGAAGACATGAGAATATGAACACTAAAGGAAGGCTGTTTAACACAGTATTCTTACCAACGCTCTGCTATCAATGTCAAACATGGACACTTTCTTCACAAGACTGAAGGAAAATATACACGACGGAAATTAAATGTTTACGTACTATACTAGGTGAACACAAGGAAAGATCGACTTAGGAACAATGATATCAGGAGGAGACTCGGCACAAGAAAATACTAAACTATACAAGCAGACAACAAATCAACTTGTGTGGCCATGTAACAAGATTGGCAGCAAGCAGGGCACCACAGAGAGCAATGTTATACGGATAGAGTGATAACAGACTCAGAGGTCGACAACGCAGCAGATGGACCGCAGACATGTCATAGAGTCTGAAAAGTACTATATACGAAGCGAACAGAAAGGCCTGTTCTGAAGATCTCTTTCTCCACTGACGCCGCGAGGAATAACATGAGTAAAGAAAAGAAGAAGATGAAGAATAATAAGAAGAAGAAAAGGATGTTGTCATATAATTTCTGCCTAAGATATTCTAGTGTACATGGTTGAGGAGCAGGCTCATAGATAGGCTGTTGTCGTTACTTTAACAGGAGTCTTACCTTTTGATACAGTGGAAGTTGAGAAAAGCAAACTACTGAACGGGAAATTTGCCTATAAAAATCACAGTGCAGCAGGTCAGTGTATCCAACCCCGGAAGACCTACTTCGGAGGAAAGTAGGTAGTGGGTATTGGATGAGCAGGGTAAATGACAGACGGACTTTTAATCAGGTCGCAACTGGCACAACCAGTAGAGAAAATCATATCTGACTACTAAGACATGGGCAATATTATAAATTAGTAATGCATTATTAATGATAGTATGGTAGTCTGGTAGTCTTAGTTTTAGCTTCATAGCAAACGGGTCACATCATCTTTGCTCCGCTCCTGTGCCAACGGAAAAACACACAGAATGTTTATCACAGTCCCTCGTGGAAAGATTGACAGACTGCTGTCCCATCATTTCTTGCATACACACGCATCAAAGCATACGGTAGCCATCCGAAGTGCTAACACAAACAGTCCGACATTAGAAATGCAGTTCATCATTGATGGAAGCAGAAGTCACCAACAGATCAGCAGTTTCCCACGCGATCAAATTTAATCACATACGGGCACGACCAAGATTGCGACAATAGGCATCGCGCCATTTTCTCAATCTACAATTCACACTACCACGTTGGTCACAGTCGAAAAAACATTCCAAATGAAATATGCAGCTCACAGTGTCACGCCATGCATTCAACTCAGAAGCTTGGCTACGAAACTATATCCAGTCTACAAATGGAGCAAAAATGCATCGGCCACCCTCTGACAGAAGCAGACAATTTGTCTCGGCTCCAAACGATGCCCCTGCCTAGCGTCTATTTTGACCGGAAGTCATTCATCATTTTAGGTTGTTTATAGTGTATTGTCTCTAGTTGTAGGTTGTGGCAGGTTTTTGTCAATGAAGAAATGTGCCAATGTTAGTTTGTGTCAGTATTTGATGGTTTCATTGTTACGTTGCGTCAGTGTTAGGTTGTGTCAACCTTAAGGTGTAACAGTGTTAGACTGTTTGAATGCTAGAATGTGCTAATGTTAGGTATATCGATTCCAGACTGTTTCTTGTACAAACATGTTCGATTTTCTTGATCATAGTATTGTGTTTTATCTTGGTCTTAGCTTGTTGAAAATAAATAAATAAACTCCATATGCCAAAAAAGTGTGCGATTTGCTAGTGTTTAGCATTTATTTATAATACAACTGAATCAGATTAGGGAGTTTAAATATCAAGGAAGTATGATCACAGAAGATGGTAGAATTGACAGAGAAATAGAAACCAGATGCCAGAAAGCAAATGCGCTTATATACCAATTGTCACCACTCTTAAAACATCCAAGCATAACTATGAGTGCAAAGAGACAGATTATTAAAAGCATATTCATTCCAACATTAAGCTACCAGTGCCAAAAATGAACACTATCTAAAACCCATACACGCAAAATCATCACCTGCGAGATGAGGTGCCTGAGAAAAGCAGCCAACCTAACCATCCGAGATCGAGTGAATAATGAAACTACCAGGAAAATTGTGGGAACGACACCTTGTACTAGATTAATCGAGAAACCGCAGATTAAGTGGTTTGGCCATCTTGTTAGAATGCGGCAAGATCAAATACCATCACAAGCACTTCATCCCAGAAGATCAGCTACAAGAGCAAGAGGGCGGCCGCGGAAAACATGGATCGACATAATTAAAGACACTACGTCTTTATGGCATGACAATAGCCAGTGGCAGCCAACATGCACTGGATCGCAAATAATTCCTCCCCACGTCGCTTAACGACATAAGTGGTTTATGATGATGATGATGATGATACAACCCTGTTGTCAGTAGCTTAGGAGCTGCAAACGCTCTTCGTAATTCTGATACACCCAATTCGATTCTTGCCACAAGAGACATGACGTAAGACCGCTTTTCGTTGTTCCTGACAGTGGTATCAAGCGCACCCAATTCATATGTAATGTTCAATGTTGAATTAGGAATCGACATCACAGCACTGGGGACACTCTCATAAGCTGTCTGTCCCCATCTATATCAGCAAGCAAAGAGTTCCAGTTCAGATAGCAGCAGTGATTGTCTTACAGTATATCAGGCACGTGTAATGTCAAACTACTGACCCTAACATTTCCCAGTCAAATTACAAATTAGCCGATTACAGAAAAAAAGCAACAATAGGGACAGCTCTGCATTGTCAAGTACAGATACAGGAAATAATGTTTAACAACCTTGTTTCCCTGTAGCACGTAATATAACAGTTTAGAAACACCCTCTGTGTTTTCTTTGTGTCATCATCCCAGCCTTCATTAACTCTTAGAGTTATCTGAGAAAATGAATGAAATCTACTACCTCTCAGAAACGTTTGGGAGGATAAGACAGTTAAAAGCATATCTACATTATTGCTTTTGTTGTTGTATATGGCCTTTTGTTAGACTGTTAGGTGCTTGTGCTCGCCTGGCATATCGAAGCATACTCTGATACTTATTTTAAAAAAAACGTATACCTCTAGTTGCATTGTTTTATGTATACACTTATACAAACCTAGACACAGACAGACAGACAGACAGACAGACAGACAGACAG